ACTGCAGTTAGTCAATCCGCAGGTCATGTGTGGCGGGGTCAAGTGTGGGTACTGCCAACGTCTCCAAGACGTCCTGGCCAGCGTGGAAGAGTAGGCCGAAGTCCACTCTTCTAGGGCGAGCTCCCTCGTGTTGACACCCTTTCAGTCGGCGCATGGTTTTCTGAGTTACAGGGCGGGGGGGGGGTTCTTTATCATGAACCCCCCCCCCCTGTAACTCTTAATACGTGTATTAGACTGCGGTCTATTTAGAAGGTGAACTTCAAACGCGATTGCGAGTCGAGTGAGCCAGCGACGGGACCCATTGTGAGCCATTGCAAATGAGATCGGCCGAGCATCTCGGTGCGTCTGTGTGGGACACCGCCTGCATGCGCGCAACAAAGCAACGACGAACATCAATGACTGATGTTTGGAATGAAATCAAATGAGTCCCAAACATGTATTCCTCTGATGATGTTAATTCAATCACAAAAGAGCACTGAAGTGCAAATGAAATCTATTTATACAACACAAATGAAGCATTAATAGAAAGAAGTGATGTTATTCACCTAGATTGATATGGTTATATAATGCCGGTTATGATGTCAGAAATGGAGACTGGATGTGGGGCTAACACAGGGAGATGCATTCGGTGTTTCTGGTTTAATATTAATCGGTACGTTAAGATATTCATGATTTGGCCATGATTGTTACCTCTTGCTAAACTAAACTATTTTATTCACCAGGTAATGCCCACTGGGCTATTAGCTCTTTTTCAGAGGCGACCTGACCACACATGATAGTTCATAAACGCGGCCTAGATCACATGTCGACATTCATAGGAGCAGCCAAATAATACAGAGGAATGTTTCTAAATGTGGAGGGGAAAAAACCAGAGGACCCGGACAGAAATCCACAGGGCCATGGGGAAGAACACGCAAACTCCAAATATACAGCGATCAAACCCAGGAGCTCCTTAGCAGCAGGCGAGGGAGATAACCGCTCTCCACCATGAGTGAGTAATTAGGAAGCCTCAAAAGATGACAAAATTCGGATGAAAGCCTCCCCACGCCGTGTCGGTCCTGTGGGTTGTTCGACCATGTTCCATTACACTGGTCAGTGCCGGGTTAGTGAAGGTGTCACCTAAGATTGGTTCAGATATCACTCCTACTGTATGTTTGGCGTGGCCGGTAATCAAACTCAGGTGGCCGGGTCCATAGCGCAGCGCACTAACCACTGCACTATTGTTAAGTTCCAATTTGGATAAGGTCCGAAGTTTGTGAGTCAGTGTCAGCTGACTGTTGCATCTCTCGCGCCGCTGAGGCTGCAGATACCTCATCTCCCGTGCCCCCCCCCCCTCCCATAGCCCAGCCCAAAGTCAAACAGCCAGATTCACCGTCCAGTTAATTTTCACACTTTTTGTTGAATTCCAGTTTTATCTGGAACTAGCAGGAAGCCTGCAATCCCCCTTCCCCCCAGCATCTCTCCTTCCCCCCACACCCCTCCTCGCTCTCTGCTCCCCCCTTCTCGGGCGGCAGAGTGCTGGGTGATAAGTGAACTTTTTCGGCTACGGACACACATGTGTGACGACACATCGTTGCACTCAACGGCGTCTGCCACTTCCCCAACCCCCCGTGCCCATCCCGCGGCTCAAACAAGCGACGGGCCGCGTGCCTCCCGGGCGATATTTGGCCCTGAAGGCAGTAAACCAACAGCTCCGATACCGTATGCGTTGGTTCTTTCGGTAAAGTCACGTAGATAGAAAAATAGACTGCCAGTACACTCACCGAGGTTAAGAACCAGGCTACAGTCTACATTATAGACTTCCAGTACACTCACCCAGCTTAATAACCAGGCTACAGTCTACATTATAGACTACCAGTACACACACCCAGCTTAATAACCATTGCTACAGTCTACATTATAGACTGCCAGTACACTCACCCAGCTTAATAACCATTGCTACAGTCTACATTATAGACTGCCAGTACACTCACTGAGGTTAAGAACCAGGCTACAGTCTACATTATAGACTGCCAGTACACTCACCAAACTGAACAACCAGGCTACAGTCTACATTATAGACTGCCAGTACACTCACTCCGATTAAGAACCAGGCTACATTATTTTTTTATGTTTATTTTTATTCACTTTTTTATTTTATTTATTATTTTCCTTCTAACTTCGTGACTTTACCGAAAGAACCAGCTCCTACACCGAGTGACGTGTGCTTCTACAACAACAACAACAAAATCTGCTGCGCCTTCTAACTGCGAGCAATTAACCTTGCACTGTGTTGCGCTAAGCGACTGGAACCTAAAGCGGTGGGGGTAAACAACAACAACAACAGAAGATGCGTCTCGTGCTGGATCCGCGGCCCCCCATCTGTCTGCCTGCCAAGCTCCAATCCCCAAACCGCGAGCTCCGATTGGCTGCGTTTGGGGCTCGCCGGCTGATTTCGTAATCCCCGCGTTCGCCACCAGAGTCGATCCCCCCCCCACCTCTTCTCCCGCTTGCGGCCAAGATCTTAGAGCACCTCGCGAGAGATGGAGAGGTTGGGAGGGGGTTGTGAATGAGGGGGAGCCGTGCCGATAGCTTCGCCTTGCAACCGCGTGCCCTCTGCGTCTGCCTGTTTAATAATGCTCCCCCCCCCCTGCACTTAGCGGCTGGTGCCGCCACCACGCCCGCACCCCCCCTAATGAAGTTGCCGGTCGCCCGCCTTGTTCGTGTGCCAGCAGCCTGTTTAATAATCCACGCGTGATGCAGCTCCCGCTAGAGAGAGGTGGGGGGGGGGCGATTGTGGAGGTGACATAGAGAGGATGATGGGGATGGGGCGATGGGGGTTCGAGACGCAGTGTCAGAGAGAGAGAGAAGCGGGGGGGGGGGGGGCAAAGCAACATCGCTTATTTAAGGGACAAGGGAGAAATGACTTCGCACGACCGTCTGTCGTGATGTCGGGGCACGTGCTTAATGATTTATTTACAACAATTACTTATTCATAGCTTCTCGGAAAAGCCACAAACACCTATTTCAATCGAGCCGTATGCAAATCAAAAGGGGGGTAGGAGAAACTCCCCCTCCCCCCTTCCCCCCTACAACGAGCAGAGCCATAGCAAATAGACTTCACTTTGAATCAACGCTGACTAAAAACATCACGTGTGAAATTTGGCTCTAAGAAATGCTGTCATGTGCACAATATGTACTGTATCGTGAAACAAAACATGCCTTCGTGGACTTAGCCAAGCTATCGCGTATTTATTGATTAGTTTTAATTTGCGCTTTCTAAATGCCACGTGTAATTTCGAAGTGACGTTTCTCATCGTCGGGTTTATGCTCTTTGATGCCTCATTCGACGAAAGATACGACATTTCGAAACAAAGGAAGAGTCAATTAGATGTTTAAGACAGTCTCTCAGTAAAATGAGCGCCCGAAATTTTAACTCTCAAAAGGTTTGGCATGTTGTGGATATAATCTGTCGAAAGCCATTAGCAGGGTACTGATTTTCTAATTTAGGTCTCCCATGAGGTATTGAACCAATGGCCTTTTGAACTCATTTCAGATTCTGTAGCCACAAGATGACTTCGTTAGTCTCCTACACATCATACAAAATAAGCTTTAAAACGTGCACATCTGACAGCCGTGAAAAACAATCTCGCAAGCCTGCCTGCCTGCGGGGCGCGCACGAGACTGATATTAAACCAGAGATTCGTGCGCTTAACTCAACATTCAACAGGGTCACCTACACATCGTCACTAGGTTACTGGGGGTGTCAAAGACAAGCATTTCGCTTTGTTGTTCACCCTCCTTAGAAACGTAGAACAGGTCCAGGAATGTATTTGAGAAGAACAGACCCCCCCCCACCTCCCTACCTACCCCAGCCCGACATTGATTTCTGGGGCAACTGATTTCGTCTAACACTATCTGGAATCCATTCTTCTAATTACAATCACCGGGAAAGTGCATTTTTGTAGCACCTTTCCCTAGACGCGCGTAAATGAACTCCTTGTAGCTATTACACACCGTTTGGTTCGGCCCGCATTGGACGTGACGGACACATCGCTGCTGCTGCTGTTGTTGTTGTAACTTCTCAACTACTCCATTGCGCGCAAGAGCAAACATCCCACCATATGTTCTGCATAGGCGGATGCGGTTCGTAAAGGTCCATTGTTTATCAGGTTTCGCGTGTTGTCCGTGCACAACCACATCGCCCAGATTGCCCCTTGCCTCGTCATGTCTCGCGAGTTGGGTTTGAGCGTGGAGAGCGTCCGGTGTGGATGGGGGCGACCACCATGCACATGAGGTGCACAATCGGCGTTAAAGGCTGCGCGGTCCACGTGGTGGGCAGTAGAATAAGTCCGTGCAGCAATATCCATCGTTGGACTGCATTTCTATGCTCTCTGCTTTCACCCAACCCTCACTGGCTAGCGTGGTAAAGTATGATCAGGTACACCCCCCCCCCCCCACAAAAAAACCAAACTCGTGCGACGTGGGTAGGGCCTCATCCAGCAGGGGGTTGACAAGAGGGCGGTGACATCTACGTGTACGATGTGTGAGGAGCCGTGGCGGTGTTGTAGTGGTCCGCGCGCTGCGTTGCGAAGCCTCCTGACATCGACACTGGGGAGACGAAGGCGGCCGGGCGTGGTGCTGGCCACCCACCCCCTCGTGTGCCGTGCCGGCCTTCATAGGTGCTGGCTAACAGCACTTGCCCCAACAGCCTGTTAAGGCTATATGGGGGAGCTTTGTCTTTGGTGGCGAGGAGAAATTAGCTCGCTGCGCCGCGAGCCCGTGCGACCCATAAGAGCGGCAGAGGAGCCTCCACTGGTCCTCCGTTAGGTTCACCTGGCCTGCAACACGTGTAGTGTGATGTGTGCGAACATCAGTCCTGGGTAGACACGTGCGTCCGAGCATCGCCTTGAGCTCACCGCCACGTGTGTCCCCGTGCGGCTTGAATAGGCGCCGACGAACAATACCTCCCCCCCCACACACGCACGCTTAGATCACCCCTCCCACGACCACGGACTCACCTGCCGCGAACCTGCACGTTGGAGATGGCGTAGTAGTACTTCTTGAGGTTCTCCTTGTCGATGAAGGTGTCCCCGGTGGCGGGCTGCAGGAGGCGCGCGCGCAGATCCGTCAGCGTGAAGAACCTGCGCAGCTCGCTGTCCACGTCCAGCCTCGCGTACAGAGACGCCACGTTGCGCAGGCCGACGCCGGCGAAGAGCGCCGTGCGGTTGAGCACCTCGAAGCGCACGGTGCGGTCCTGTTTGGCCACGAAGCTACGCGAGTACTCCTCGGTGCAGACGACCTGCGTGGCCGACGCCTGCGTGAGGTCGAGAGCGCGGCGCGCCTCGCGGCGGAAGAGCTCGTAGCAGTCGTCGGCGTAGTACTGCACAGCCGTCCACGTTCGGCCGTAGTCCAGCGACTTCTCGAGCACCATGGCGCTCGGCCGCCGCGACTCGAACGTGATGACGACGTCGTCCGTCAGCTCGATGGTCTTGCCCCACGACATCGTGATGTTGACGCGCAGCGGCTCCGGGTGGCGGTGCCACGAGACGCTCTGCCAGTAGGTGGAGAGGCCTCCCTGGGCCCCGACGCCGACGTGGCCCCCGTGGCCCCCGTGGCCGCCGTAGCCCCCGTAGCTCGGCGAGCCGAGCGCGGGCTCCGAGTCGAACATGAGTTCCGCCGGGTGGGAGAGCTGCGGGGTGCTCGCGTCGCAGAGGTTGCAGAGGTATGGGTTCTCCTGCGAAGCGGCAACGACCACGTGCGTGATCGTTTCTGTGTTTTCCCACCCCTCGTGCAACAATGTTGGACAGGTGGAACGTGCACGGGCGCTCGCCGTATCGGTTAAACCGCAGAGACGGAGACGCCTTGGTGGAGGCCTTTGTGGGTGAGTCGTGATCACGAGGTTGCTCCTCGTTGTTAAATGCACGGAGCGTTCGATAACGAGGACGAATGACATCGTTTATTAAAATGGGCATGTGACCAATGGCCTTGAGCCAGTGGCAGGAATTCTACAATGGATTGGTGATGCCTCCCATCCAGCAGTGGATTGATCATGGACGCTGATTATAACATTGGTGGTGATGTAACGCCAGCTTTCGTTTAAGGGGTAGGTCAATTTGATGCCCTTGTGAGTGGAGACTAAACTAAACGTGGACGTTATCGATGATAGGCAGGCATTTAGTGTGTACCCGCTTTGTTCACAACATATAATTATAATGCGAGCGAAAGCCAGTACATTGTGAGCTGCGCCTCACAAGACATTCATTAGAGTGATGTTTGCAGTGAGTGGGTCAGAAAGGTCAGTACACAGTGGTGCCTCCGAGTGGATTACAGCAATCTGAACGCTTTTGCTTATAAATGTATGCCGAGCAGCTTATGACAGCGATAATTTAAGCAGCAAATATCTAAAACTTTGCATCGTGTCATGAGTAGATTTTCTCGCCGTACCATGATCGGCAGTCAGGAACGGAGTTTAAAAAAATCCCAGCCGATAATGCAACATCAATCTCTGCCTCGGAAAATGCCGACACTGGAACTGCTCAAGTTTGCCCGTTCACACCAAACCATCGCATGCTTGCGATGTCCCATTAACCCAGACCCAGTCGGTGTCACGCGACCCGTCTGTTGGCAGTGTGTGTGTGTGTGCTGGGGTGTAAAATGCGGATCCTCTCACCTCGTTCAAGTCGTTTGGCCCGCGTGGATGACTAGGCCAAGTTAGTTGAACACGTCGTATAGGCTTTCGCGACCAATTTAATCCATAATAGAGGTTTTTTGGGGGGTTAGATCGCATAAATATATAAATGTGTCGTTAAAACTTGCCACCACCCGACACAGCCAACTGTCGGGTTTTAACGACACATTTATATATTTTGCGCGATTTAACCCACAAAAACCCTCTAATATCGGCCAAGTTTCTCTCGATCGAGAGCTCACGGAAGAGTGGAGAGGCTTTTGCCAGCGGTGGCGTGAGCAAACGAGTGCACGGCTTTACCTTTGCACATGCCTCCAAATCACCCGAAATATTCCCGATCTTGTCAGATTTCTGAAGCTAAGCATTGGTTTCACCTGGATAGTGCTTCGTTGGGTCACCTCCATGCACGAACAGGTTGTTGTTGTTATAGAGCAGTGGTTACTAACCTTTACTGCAGCCTCTTTGGTTTTCAATCGTTAAAACGCTTATATTAGTAAATACATATGTTTGATGAAACAAAGTAGTTGTACTTACGTGCACGTGATTAATGTGTGTTTCGATGATTTACCTTCTAAACAAAATCTGGTCATGTTTCACACCCCCAGAAAGGGAATCTCGCACCCCCAGGGGATGCACCCCAGGTTAAGAACCACTGGGTCAGAGCTAATGAGGACAGTCCAAGAAAAGCCCGTTGTCAGACTGCACTTCTATGCTCCCATGTTTATATGTACCCCGTGTTCCGCCAACCTGTACTGATCAGCTTTGTGAAGTAAAGTCAAACAACGCCCATGAGCAAACATGGCACGGAAAAGCATGTGTGTGGCAGTGCATTGGCAAATGGCTTCACAATATGACGAATGAAAATGCTGGGATGAGAAAAAATAAACATGGGATCAATTCAAATTGTAAACATTCAGATGAATTATAGAACAACATGTTACATGGTAAGGTAAGAATAAAATACGGTAAAAGCAACGTTTGTTTAGGGTTACATGCTGTGACATGGGCTCCATGCGAGACCTCCTTGCATGCTGTTGCTGCTGTAACAGTCCTGTACAAAATGCACACCAACCACTGCCCCCACCCCACAGACCTTCAGGCGACGCTTCCACCCCCATGTGAAAGACGCCGTGGCACCCGATTGTGCACAACTCCTGCCAAGCCGCGGCCTTGCCTGCCCCCCCCCCCCCCCCCCCCAGTTGCCAGAACATTGCTCCCTGGACAGAAGATCACTTCACTCTGCCGTCCGGATATTGAACAAACCTCCCTGACGAACACATTGTCGACGAGACCACTGATTCTGGTCTTCAGGCCCTCACATGCCGAGCACGTGGACACCTCCTAGCCTCCCCACACGCCTTGTGGGACTACTGCAGTGAACCAATGGTTATGACGATTCGATGTGCTAATGTCTGATATGGATATTGCTCACAATTGCACCCAATACTGTATATATATATAACAAAAAATAACTGTAGATGCACAGCCACACATGGCAATAAATGGGTTCTCTGGCATCGGAAGTTGTAATAACATTTTGCAAGTCAAAATGTTGATAAACTTGGGTTTTGTCTTGGTTTGAAGCTTTCGTGACGGCAGGAATTCATACTCTCTGGTTCTTTCGGTAAAGTCACGTGGGTAGAAGACATAATAAAAGAGAACACGACGTTTTGGTCGCAACACGGACGCTTGTGTTGCGACCGAAACGTCATGTTCTCTTTTATTATTTTTTCTATCTATGTGACTTTACCCAAAGAACCAGAGAACTTGGGTTTTATTGCACTATCTTAAAAACCCAAACAAACCAATACACAACTACCCCGCCCCCCAAAATAAACATGCCGAAATAAGTTTAAACTGTAAAATTCTCGTGAAATTAATTTAGCGTAAAATTGGTAAAAACTACGGTTAAAATAAGCTAGGCACAATGTTTTTGGCTGAATATATTTAGCATTCTGTATACTATTTACACTTCAAATAAAGAATTCTGCGAATGTCATCTATTTTCACAAGTGAAATATATTTTACATGAAAAAAATGCACATGTATGATTGTTAACTAGTTATCGTCATCGCTGTCACGTGTTAGTAACAGTTTAATATCGCCGTTCCACGATTCTTGGTGTTTGTGCTTCGAGGGTAAAGAAAAGAGGATTAAGAAGTAGTAGGGGACTGAACAGTGGTAGTGACCTGGTATAATAAAACGCTGCTTCCAATTATGGGAGGAAAAAAAAGTGATTAGCAGCTGGCCGGTCTGTTCATACACAAAGCCTGAGCGAGCTTGCGCTGTAGGATTTTAATTATTAAAGCGGTGCATAATTGCCGTTGGCTGTAATTCCATTGTTAACATGCGTGAGCGTGCATGGGATAATCCATTACATCTGGTGATATAATCCCGCAAAGTTTTTTGACGATTCCCAGAAAATAGATTTTCAAATGTCGACCCAAATGCAAACATTGGGTTCAATGCAGTAAGAATGCATTCTCCATTTCACGGGCGTTTTTTTTCCTTTCCCCTGCTGCCATTTTCTTCTCCTCCTCTGCGATTTTAATTTTCCAGCCGGGAGCAAAATAAACAAAGCTCTAATCCGCATGTAACCCCCTTCCGTCACTCCCAAGTAAAACGTGTTTGTTATCCATTACAGGGGTATTTCAACTTGAAAGTCAGGAGTCGTTTGAATGTCATCACGTAGGGGGGGGGGTGTGATCCTTGTCGACACGTGAGTGGCTGCCGATGTTTTATTTCCGTTTGCTCTTCTCGACAATAGGATTGTTATTCTTTATCATCACTGTAGGGACTTGGTAGCGCAAGTGTGCTGAGCACACTTAATGGGGTGGGTCTTTGACAACGACCCTGACTTTTCACAATTGTGGTACATATTTTATTCGCATTCAGAGAGATGGGCTGCCAACTCACTCATCGTGTGCTGAGCACACTTGCCGCTGGGATCTCCGCTATCTCTGTCGTGGCTCACGTCTGTGGCGGGTGCCCAGAGCCCCCTCCCCCAACCCCCTGGCCGCCCGCTTCACCAACTCACATTGGCCAATATGCGGGGCTGTCTCCATCCAGCAGTGGACTGACAAAACGTCATTAATTATATCATAATTGTTTTAATCATTATTATGCACAGTCGAGTATGCCGTCGCATATTGGGAGATTATGAGTGAGTTGTCAGCCCATCCCTCTGGAGGAGAATAAAACAGGCACCACATTGTGAAAAGTCAAGTGGTTGTCATCGACTGACCCCATCACAGGGATGTAGAATTTCTTCAACTCATGGGTTGTGACCACCAGGGCGTACCTCGCCACTATTGTGGATGTTTATTTTACTATCATAATTATTCAGTTGGTATTGATCTGTTTCTCGCTTAAAAGCCTCATCGATGGGTTGATCTTTAATGAAGTCCCACATACACCAAAAGGGCATTCTTGTAAGCTCGAGTACGCTTGAACACTTCGCAGAATGAAACTACATTGGACATTCACTCTCGAATGAAAAGAAATGTGCCAACTCGTAAATTATATTTTTAAACAAAACCAAGCAGAGGTGACCCGGGATGGTTTCAGACGTCAGAGTGCTGGATTGCCACTTCTGAGATTCTCATCCAGACAAACATCAGAATCGTTATTTAGACTGGAGGAATCCGGTGAGCTGTGAAGCTTTTTCACTCAACGATGTCCACCTTTTATTAAACCGGAGTGTGTCAAGTGTAGCGAGGTTGATGCTATCAGCCAGATTACCAATGGCTGCACACAAAAATGAAATATATCATGTGAAGTTTCGTTCAGCACTTGATTTGGCTAAATTGCAATGATGAGAATAAAAATATGACTGCCAGGGGGGAAAGAAAAACAATCCGATTACAAAGTGGACGGGAGAGTGTGTGATTGCTTATTGCATGTATAATACAAATGGCACTTTAATTGTTTTGTATAGAGAAAGTCCTGTGAACTATATTCCGGTGTATTGTGCAAATAAGAGTTCCAAATGGATTCTTTGTCTAAAAATGTCGCGTCGATAGCACAATCGGAGAATGGAGAACAAA